ACGCCGCCGAAGTCGAGACGGCCGGCGGCAGGAGCCTCTCGGTGGACGAGTTCAAGCGGGCGCAGCTCGAGTTCCGGGAGGCGGAGATCGAGGAGGTGGTGCACGTGCTGCAGCGCATCAACGGAGGATACGGAAAAGACGTGTACGAGAAGAACTCGCGAGGGGAAGGGGCCGATTTCTGGAATTGGAAGGGCCGCCTGAACACGGAGGAGATGGTGGTCGCGGGACACAGCTACGGCGCGACGGGGGCGATGCAAGCTCTTCGGGGCGGGCCGAGCGCGAAGCGGCCGTTCCGCGGCGGCATCATGCTGGACCCGGGCAAGTCGAGCGGGCGGCTGAACGACGACCTCCGCGTGCCGGTGCTGGTGGTGCACAGCAACTCGTGGAGCAGCGCGCACAGCGTCTTCTACGGGCGCGCGCACTTCGACGCCGTACGCGACATCGTCGAGAACAACGTGCTGCGGGGCACGCCGTCGTGGTTCGCCACGTCCCTCGGCACCTCGCACCCCTCCGTGACCGACGCGCCGCTCATCGAGCCCCTGGTCCTCAGCTGGACGACCGGCGCCCGCATCGACGTCGACGAGGCGCTGCGCCAGTACGTGCACGTCGCGGAGGACTTCCTGCGGTTCTTGACGACCGGGGAGCGGCGCGGCTTGCTGGGGGAGAAGGCCGAGTTCCCGCGGTACGACGAGGGGAGGGGCTTTGGCGTGTGGAAGCCCGGCCAGAATGGTAGCACAGAGGATGGGGGGCCCTGGGGGGACTGGCGTAGGTACTGGCAGGTTCACGTCTCGCCGAATTAGACCGGTGAGGGGGATGGCGCGGATGGCGTGGTAGTTATAGGGGGCTATGCCACGGAAGTCGTGCACGCTACTTTGTATGTATATATATGATACCCCCCAAGAAGTAAGGGCTTGAAGTGTAGGTTTAATAGAGTCTCGCTTTAATGGAGAGAATTTCGAGATATATGATCCTTCAGTGGAACCTGGGGTCAGGAATACTCCAGATTCACCTGGTGGTTATGCTACTGGAGGCGATACTTTGAAAGCTCCAAGTACCCCTTAATATCAGCCACTAAATCACATCATCGAAGAGAGTAACACCTGCTTATTTAGGGCTGAGAGCATGCAGCATCCCGGACCCCACAGTTTCCGAGACGGCTCCCGTGTCGGTGATAGGCTCGGGATCGATTTGAGGTCGAGACACGCAGATGTGGGTGACCTTGGGGGCTGAAGCCGCAAGATACAGACCAGAACTAAGCCAATCAACGCTTCTCGTGCATGCGCCAATGTTTTTCGTATATATTAATCGAGGACCCGTGTCTGCATGGCGTTGATGATATTCCCCTTTTCGTGCCAGTCTGCCCGAGGCCTTGTATATATCCAGGGAGGCAGCAACTCTATCATTTTTCAAACTCTGTCTCCATATGCCACAATGTTGTAGTCGAGGAGAACCCCGAAGCTGCAGTCAGTATCTTTCGCCAGAACTTTGATACCTATAACTATGGCTGGCCTGGGGCCGCTGACGACGACTTTCACGCCGGCATCAGGCTGTAACTCGGTGATATCCGGCATCGTATATACGCAGACCTTAGACGATGGAAACATCACTACACACAAATACCACAGCCTTGGACTTAGCGCAACCTCGGAATGCTATCCGCCAGCCTTCGAGGTGCACTCCTACTACTCGCCGGGAATCTGCCCGTCGGGCTGGCAGTCGGCGTGCGGCAAACAAGAAGCTATAGGAGGAAGTATTACCGAGACACGGGTGACATGCTGTCCATCGTACGCTCTACCTTCCTAGCCTCTTAGTTTCATAGACGCCGGGTTTCTGCTCCATACGCCAGACTAACGTATTATCTCTCAACCAAGTGGATACAGATGTATTGACGCCCCAAACCCGACAGAAACATGGTCGACGCTATCGTGCTCATCAACGGCCATATCGACGGTTTCTGTGACTGTTCCAGACGAATCGAACCAGTATTACAAAGTGACCGTGCTTAACAGTCCCCTCATTCACGCCGCAGCAGTCGAGGTCCGCTGGCAACGAAGCGATTTCATCGCCTCGAGCACGAATCCACCAACGAGCTCCTTTTTCTCCATATCGACAACTTTCGCGGCCGTTTCTTCATCCTCTGCCATCGTTCCCGAGCCCACATCTAACGCATCCCCTGAGAGCACATCCCTGTCGACAGGCGCTAAAGTAGGCATCGGCCTAGGAGGGGGGTGTCTGGTACTGGCCATACTCGCATTCGGGTTCTGGTGGCGGAGGAAGCAGGCCAAAGCCAAGAAGGCGGGTTTAAGTGCGAACGCGGAAGATCCCCAGCTTGGAAGTCAAGAAACGGCGAAAGCACCAGCTGAGATGTGGGAACAGTATCAGCAGGAGCTGTACACTTCTAGTAACACTGCCGAGATGGTGACGGAAAGCAATAGGCATGAGTTCTCCGGCGATTCGCGGCCGGCTGAGCTCCCGGTTGAGCACTGGAGATATTGACGGACTAAAGAAAGGGTTTCGTCGCGAGATACGAACAGCATAACTTAACTCATGGTTTTTAAGGTAGGTAGTTTCACTTGATCACCTTTTAGTTACGTGTCGCAGTTTCTCGATTTAATGTATCAATTTTAAAAACAGGTCAGGTTAATTCTAAGGTCAAAAGGTTTCTATACATGCACTATCACATTCGATTGCCTAGAGCATATTTACGGTGTTATTCTCCTTCTGTGAGCAGCTTTTGACATTAGAACAGAATCCTTTACCAATTAATTCGATTTATATACATGGATACACCATAACAAGTGGTTATGTGATGTTCATAACACTGACGGTGACCTTATTCGTCGTACTTGGCGGCAGACGACCCCCTCCAGCTATCAAGAGAGCAGTTGGGTCCTCCTGGAAGACGTGCAGGGACCTCGTGTACGAGGCACCCTCCGGCGTGTTCACTCTTGTCCACGCACCCTCAGCGCCCAGTGCCTTGTTCATCCAAACTTGGGAGCAACACCCGGACGACACGATGATCGTGCCGTTTACGCCACCAGCAGATGTCCATACTACGTACGGTGAGCCGGTTGGGACAGAGCCGTCGGTAGCTCGTAAAACGCGGTGGGTCGCGCTGCCGAACTTCTCCGGATCGCTCGACAGACGGTAGTACACGGGGAATGTTCCCGAGTTGGCCGGGTTCGGCCCTCCGCCGTACTCATAAGTGTAGATGTACTGGCCGTTCGGGAGTAACGCCACGGTCGGCATCCCAGGCCGCTGGCTGTAGGTGGGATAAGCCACGTCGTCGACCACCGGCCCCCAAGTGAGCAGGTCGGTCGACGTCTGGTGGACCAGCTTCTGGCCGTGCCTCGAGTCCCGCTGGTCCGAGTAGTAATATAGGAGTTTCCCCTTGTACAGCATCAGGAACGGCTCCCAGACGGGAGTCAACCCGTTATTTGGTCGTGCTTCGCCCCCGGCGGCGACGTGGCTCAGAAACTTCCACGTCTTGCCGCTGTCGGTAGACACATAGATATCAAGCTGCGTGCTGGAGAGATCCGTCGGGATAGATGAGCCGGCTAGAAGAACGTCTCCTTTCTTATATCCGGCGAAATCCTCCGGGAGCACGTAGAGGAATGGCTGATACCGTAGGCCGTATCCATAGCCTTGGTCATGGACCTCGGATACCTTCGTCCATGTGGCGCCTTTGTCGCTAGACTTGTAGATGGGGAAAAAGACCGGGGGCGGTTCCGGACTGTAGTTTTCCCAAGTGGCTAGTATGTCGTTATTGGGAAGCTGAGCCGTGCGGGCATATAGCACTCTCGGGTCGGTATAGGTGGAAGGTGGAGTATAAACAGTAACGCCTGCGAGTGCTTTTACGCTAGAATCTGGCTGTACCTGCGCAGAGACTGCGAAGGGCGACCAAGCAATGGCTAGGCCAACCACTAATCGTACATGAGACAGCATGTTGGCCGGTGGCAAGATACCTAATCAATCAAGTCCCCGAAGACCCCAGAGATCTTTGCAGCGTTTACGCTTCCCCATCTTTCAATTATATAGTTAATTGTATGGTCGCATTTTGGGCCTACCCGGCTAAACCCGTCTGCCTATTCGTAAATCTCGCTGTGCTCTCCGCCGACGACTCCGCAAAAACAAGATCGTCAAATGTTACCCCAGGTTTTAGTCGAGCCAATCAACAGCTCCCTCCCGACGAAACTGGTAAAGTCCACGGCCCAGACCTTCGCCAATTCATGGAAATATCCCATAAGCTTAATACTAACTCATTAGGGTCGTACTTGGTGATGCGGCCTATGGACCATCCAAGTCTTTCACAGGACAAGTTGGGACGAGCCCCTTGCTTGTCCCCTCTTCTCCGCACTTCTGATGCCGTGGTGATACCTCGTCATCCCCAAGAGCCTCATTATGCGCACCTCTAATATTAGACGACTAGAACAAATCTTGAATGAGTCTCTCAGGGGTATGTTCGTGAATAGTTATTCTGAAGTCTTGCTCTAAGTGTATCCACACGACCCTGCAGATCGAGGAATTGAAGTAGTAGTAGCACAGCTTCCGAGCTCATGTCACTTGGATATATCAACTCATAGACACGAAAATCTATAAATTATTTTTGTCTCTCACTTACCTGGATACCTACTCCTAAGGTAAGAACTTTGGCTTTATTTAAAAGACTACCATGAGGTATTTTACAGGAATATTGTCTTATCTCGTGCAACTCTGGAGTGGCTAAACTACTCCTCACTCAGTCACTTACTCTCTTAAGATGGTTGGCGCATCGTTGCTCTTTATTTTGGGAGGCACACAGGTGAAACAACACCAGAATACCATTGGCTACCTATGCATCGGTCCGAAGACGACCTATACGACTACATGGGAGCTTTAGTCGGTATTGATGTGAGTTAGGCAGTTTTATGGATGAGAAACCTACCTGGGTACCTATAAAACGTCGTATTCGATCCAAGAATCAACGACTCCACATTACGATGGATTCCAATTATGTCCAGGGCTGCTTGGCGAAATGGTATCGCGTCACTTTCCGGTATAGAGAATTTGGTGAAGATTGCGGGTTCGAGTCCCGTGGCGGTCGATTATTTTTGCCGTTTATTTTTCCATATCGGTTCTAACATAATTAGAGTCATATCAAAGCTAGATACCTCATAGCTGATCGAAGGCATCGTCAAACCACGTAAGGCGGCCCAAAGCAAGATTTTGAAAAGTCGTAAGACTGATAGAGAAGGTGACGAAAATAGAGTCACTCTACTAGAATGCTATAATATATTTACTTTACGTAGGTGCTCATAGAAGCAACTCCCACCCTGACCGTTTACATTATACGTTGACGTAGGTAATTTCATTCTATTATTCGTGCCAAGGAATGATGAATCACTTGCCTAAGGTATTCATACTCCTTGTGTAGAAGGGATGTATAGTTGAATGTCCACGGCTGAGATAGCTGGAGCCACAGCACACACCGAATCCGCCGCCTGAAACTGCTAAGCAAGATATTGGATATGAGCATATTCGTAAAGACAAGGCTTTTCCAGTGGAATGACCTAGTGGTACAGTGATCATGAGCTATCTTCAAAGACTAGACCATGAAAAGCAACTAAGGTGTCGGTAGTAAGACTCCTACCAGTAATCATTTTCTTCTCCATTCCATCTTCAGCGTGAATTGCACTTGCAAGAAGAGGATGCACAATCTGACGACGTGAAGCTTCAGCGTTAACATCAAGACGATTATCACGAAACAACACCCACAACTCTACCTAAAATTCCATTGCATGCCACACCTCGTATACGACACTGTCAATATCCTAGTGTTTATAGTCGCATACTCCTCAAAGTACGAACTTAGACCAGGCGTGAATGCCATCGTAGTCTTCACGCCTTTCTACTTTCATCAAAGTATGTGACATGCGGGGACTGAGTATCTGGCTAAAACTAAATCTATCAACATCTTAGCTGTCTCATGAGCAAATGCTAAAAACCCTCTTGGCGCGTTTTTTCCCCATAGTTAGCTCATTCAGCTCACTTAAAATCAGAGAGCATAGTGGGAGCTATCCGTTTATGGAATGTGCTTCGAGATCAACGGTTAAAGAACACTCCTAATCCCCTTTCGAAAATTTTATTGTCTTCGTCATTCACATTTGGACCAGTGTCATGGAAAACAGGAGAAGATGACCTGTGTTGGCGATACTTTAAGAATTAATTAAATTAGACACTTGCGTTAATTACGGTACGGTGGAAATTGTTTTCTTAGGAACTAATGGTTTCTAGCGGCTATTCAGGCACAGTTCTATGACAATAATTTCAGCATAGGGGCCAACGGCTGTTAATACTACGTTCTTCGATTATTGGCAGATATTGTTAATCTGTCCGTTACTAAGGGGGCGAAGCTTTGGGACTATGCAACTCAACGTCCTTATACACATCCTACCCCCATCAGTCTTACCCACATTACGTACTGGCAGTCCAGCCTCACGGCGTTAAGAAGTGTCTATTATGACTGGTAGATTATCCTGTCTCAATCTCCCCCTTTCCGTCTAGTTAGCCACATAATATCTTCAACAGTACTCCTCCGTGGGATGATAAATTTATCAATAGTAGATTAACTGGTTTGTCTTTCTAATAACTTCTCTACTTAATAAGAAAATCCAAACGTCTTTTGTTATAGTTAATCCCTTATTACATATTGCTAGGGTTGGTGTCATAGAGGAATATGGCCATTAATGAGCGACACAGGTGTCTTGAGTAGGTGCGTAGGAAATAGTTATTGTCCTATGTTATTGTCCTATGTTATTTCTAAAATTAATGTCATTCGATCTCAACCATATTCGGCGTATCCTGGAGGTCATGGGATTGATCATAGCAGGTATTGGGATTCTCATGTGATTAAAGATTAGCACCGTCCAGACCATCACCCCTGAGTCTTCTACCTTACACAGTGGCAATAACCTACCCAAGTACCTATCATAGGAATGTTCTAAGAGTATCTAACTAGAAACGTAGATATTTTTTCTAGCTATTAAAGCAATGATCGGTAAACGCTCAAGTGACATGAACAAAACAGAGGTTCGATTTCGGAATTGCGATTGCTCACGTACATGGCATGCACTCCTCGGAGGGCGTTCTCCTCCTGCCGCGATACCAATCACATCAGTCTTCGAGTCGTTGTGTCTTGCTTTATGTTCCCCTGCTAAGATGGTACTCGTGACGTTTTCTGTTCGCACGAAGCGCCAAGAGCATCATCTACGGGCAATCGTATCATGCCTTTAACCGGGAAAGAGATCGCCGACCACCTCGTTGTTTTGTCTTTGTCTAAGTGGACCGACTAACAGACGTCCATCGAGACTGCGAGAATCCATCAACTCCACAGCTTACATAGTCCTCTAGGGGCACGCCTGTTGAAGAACCCCCACATAAGCCATGTATGTTGTGCTAGGGTTGACAGACTTGCAAGGATGCTGCGATAAAGTTGAGGTCTGAGAGCCGATTTTTGCCAGGGGGTTGTTTGCCTGCAAGAGGCATACAGCCCGTACGAGTCAGTGGTCAGGCCGTCAGGGCCTCTGGGCTTACGTACCAGTACACGAAAACAAACAGGCAGACAGGTCAGATAATCGAAGACGCCATCGCCCTCGTCGACCAAGAGAAATGTACACTGCCTCGACTGTGTTGGCAGGGAATGCAGAACTGACAGGTGGATTCTACTGAAGGAACGATGATACGCCGCGCAGATGTAGTGTAGTGATGACAGGTGGGCCATACTAGGTTCATTCGATAGTGTCTCATAGCAATGCCGTTAGTACCTTTGCTAATCTAGAGCCTAGATCAGGCACAATAAGCGGCATTGTGAAAAAACCTCATCCCGATTCGACTCTTGCTACGAAGAAAGAAAAAAAAAAAAAACCTCAGGACGCCAGGAGATCAGACTAGATGAGCCAGTCAGGACGCATACATAGTGGTATCGGAAAGGCTTCCCCGCATCTAGCTCACACACACCACCACAACCACCCTGCGAGGACCCCGAGGTCTAGGGCTTTCCGTCAACTGGTCGCGCTGGAACCGAGGGTCAGTGAGGCGGGCGCACGATGCTTAATGCAGGGGCACCGCCATTGCCACATGCATGCGCACTGTACATTGTACATACCAGTAGCGCAACAGGCGGGCTTTCAGGGACCACACCAACAGTGGGGAGACCAGGCAGGAGAGCAAGGAAGGCGAGGGGCTCGTGAGATCGGATTGCTGTGGTTGTCCAGACCAGTGCTGATCGATGATGAGATCTCGAGCTTTCAAGGAAAATAATGCGAGCGGCAAGTCATTAACCCAGCGGTGTGCCAACATGAGGAGAGACGTCACGGGTCGGCCCCGTACCAACGACGCCAATACCAACACCTTACATGGACATCGGCTACATCGTGGCTTTTCCATAGGCCGAGGCTTTGTCACACCGGTACGGTAACACGAGTCGCGAGTGTAGCTGTCTGGTTACAAAATTAGAACTCGCAAGAGATTTCCATCTTCAGTACTCCTGATACCTTAAAGCATGAAAAAAAAACTGAGATTTTTCTGCTTGTTCGACGCGATGTGTAACGCAAACGATTGACAAATTCCGCCTGATGGGCACCGCGGAATAGAGTGCCGCTTTGGAACCTTCTCATCTCATCACTTTGTGATACAATTCATGCTCGTCCACAGGGTGGGGGGTGTCAGGCCAGGCTGAAGATCTTCCCCTTCTCCTCGTAGACCCAGCCGTCTAGGTATGCGGGGAACCCTCAAGTCATGAATAAATCAAGCCTTCTGCACTGCCAAGGCATGTGATGCTGCAATGAGATACATAGAACCAAATCAAATCAATCACTCGACACCCACAGTAGAGCGCGTGTCGCGCCTATGCCGTTACTATCTTTCTTAGAGACCTGGTTCCTAGGTTAGAAATTTTGTCCGGTGGGTAGAATTGGCACGCCAGCCGGCCGGGTTGGCATTCCGAATTAGAACCGGATTCAAGGTATGCGACAACGCCTTGTGAGACCCGGAGTCCGGTTTGGCCGACTCCTTGATATATCATAATTCATGGCTATCGAAACTCTATAATTATTTGCTGCCCTTGCTGCCGGGTATAGCACGTGGCGAAGGGACGTGCGTGTTTCTGGTGTTTGAAGCCTGAAACTGGGATGGTCTGATATTGAAGTTGAACCCTGCGATAGATCTCCCTCGCCCATGTTCTTTGTCGTAGCGCAGCGGAATCTCTCTTGATGCGTCGACGATAGCTTCACACCCGGAGGACGTGCGCAGGCCTCCTCGTATGGAGGCAAGGGAGGGCCATTAACATTAGAGATCGTGAACTGAGCCCTTGGCTCTGCAGTTCCCGTCAAGTATTCATCAATTTCTAGCTCCCTGACATCATAATTAATTGGCGGTTGAATTGTCGGCCAGATTGAAAGTGTTGATGGCATTTGATTTGAGCAGTCGCATGTCATGGACTGGAAACCTCGTGGGCATTTGTTCGTTCTCTATCTCCAATATATTTGCTGTAACTAGTAAGTAGCTCGTTAACGCCGACAGAGAGTCCAGACTAGGTATTCTATGCAACCTGGAATAAGAAGAGGCCAGGTCCTGTATCGCTCGGTTGAATCGACCGGCCAAATCGGCATGGTGGTTCAACTACCTTCACGTGCGGCGACCATTGGCAAATTAAAGACTGGAAGAAAGATCTTGTTAAAGCTTTAAAATGGAAATATGAACTTGCATCTACGTAAGCCGGTGCGGTTCACAAGCCAATCATCGCAACGGTTATGAGCATGATTCCAACGGCATTGTCCGTTAATAGAAGCTAGGAAGCTAGATGCGTTGCATCGGCCGCGAATGTAGAGGAGCGGCGCCGGCAGAGCTCCCCGTTGTGGTAATCGGGAGCCGAGATGGAGACTTCACGAGATAATGGATACGACCTTTTCAACATAATCGTCGTTATATCTTCAAAGCCAATATAGAACGCGCATTCCTTGCCAAAGATAGCCTGGACAATATGATAATATGATAACATAAAAGGAGTCGGCGCATCTCTGTTCGATAACAGAGGTAGGTGACTCA